GGCCAGTTGGAGGATATTATTTTATAATAAGTGGCCGAACAACATATGTATGGGCTTTGGGCGTTCCATTCATTGAATACCTATTTACAATTGAATTGCCATGGGGCGGTTGCATATCAATTGCATTACGCATACGACCGAGTGGCTGCTGGTATTGTTTGTTTATGCAAATCAATCAATCAATAGAAAAGAACTTAACAAGGTCAAAAAGCCGTACCCTGTCCTTTTGGGGCTCAAGCGAATCGGCTTAAAATCGTATCAGACCATGCAGATTGCAAGCATTTCTGACGAATTGCAATGTTTTTCTTATTTCAATTTCTCTTTAAGTTATGCATCTATTATTTTGTCCCAACAAAAATATGAGAAATACCAAGAATTTCGTTTTTTAATTATTGTTTCATGTGAATGATATTTGCAATATATACTTTTTTTTATTTTGCGTTGAGAGCTGAAGTAAAAGACATTTACTTACCTTTGCTATGATTTTATTTTAATACCGCATTTATCTAGTTTATTTGCACAGATTTTAAGCTCCACTTAGTATAATATATCTTAAGGCATTGTCATCGCCACTTCCATTTCACACTTGTTTTATTTGGGCTTTCAAAGATTCACAAATATATTTTCGAATAGTTTCACTTTCACTGCGCTTTGAAAAGTTTCGCGCCTTTGAACTCTGGTCCGTGAGGCTCTGAGCCTCTGTCTGATTATGGTTTTAAACGCTGGATTCACCAGTTGGCACACAACTACGAACCGCCGCGTTTCAAAACGTACTGCACATCGTTGGCCGGGGTCCAAGTCCGAGATTCGTTTACGGCAAAGTCGTGTACCGTAATTCACCACGGCAAACACGAGCCGGACACGAGCAGAAGCTCGGCTCCGACATGTGGGTCTGTGGAGCAATAGCGAAAGCTGTATAGCCGAAAAGTGAAAGCATCAGCACGGATTGATATTGAGGCAGGTTAGTAAGTTCGTTGAAGCCCTTTCTCTCGCTCTCTCGCCTTCTCTCGCGAGGACATGTCGGCTTATTCCTGCGATGTTTTTTGATTACATTGGAAGTGCGATGTTATTGGTCAGTGATAAGAAGCTGCCGTTTCAAAAGTAAACTGTTGCGTGCATGTACAATTATATTTAATTATAACTATAAGTATTTAAAATTATAATTTTAACTTATTTTATTATTATAATTTTCATTATTATTTCTATTATTAATATTTGTATTATTCTTATTATTATTATTATTATTATTATTATTATTATTATTATTGTTATTATTATTATTATTATTATTATTATTATTATTATTATTATTATTATTATTATTATTATTATTATTACTATTTAATAATAAATAATATTAAATAAAACTTTTCTAAAGAACCGTAAAAAACTGTATTAGAAGCTTATATTGATTTTAAGATTAAAGTTTAAATATTTCTAGTTTAAGTCGATTAATGGTCATTCACATATAAGTAATAGAAGTTGCAACACGGCGGCAAAGCAAGAAACCTCTGCACAGAACTCACTTAGAGTAAATTCTTTAATTGTAAATCATTCGACTGAGTGAAATGCTATGTTTTGATTACACACAGCCTCAGTTTCCAGGGCATGCGCAGAGCACTCGGAGTGACAGAGGCACAGCTGTTGAGCATTGTCCGGCGTGGTGAATACAGATCCAACTGATAAGAGCTGATAAGAATGCATGGCAGGTGCAGCAGTGGGCACGGCAACAACAATAACAAGCCGCCGAGCTCGCATTGCAAGTGTAATAATTACATCATGATTTAATCAGCGCGGATGCCACAAGTCGAGTAACTGGCAAATGCCCGGGTGAAGGTAGCATTATGATAGGGCAAAGGGTACCGGAGGTTGCCAGCAAACTACTAAATGAGCTTCGTTACAGACGCAATTAATGAGCAGCGTTGTACAATTAGGGAACTGCCTCAATTATGCAGTCCGCAACAGTCGGCGCCGGCAGATGCGAGCAGCCCTTCGTACTTGCCCCACAATTTTCCAAGTTGTTGTCATGGTTGTTTTAGTTGTTGTTGTTGTTGTTCTGGTTGGTGTTGTTGTTGTTGCATGTGATGGGGCTGCTTTTAATAGCAAATTTGTGGCCATTGTGACCGTTTTTTGGCGCTGGTTAGACAAGGCCAGCTAAGGACAGGGGCAGCCTTTTAATTATGATAATTACATTGTTGTCGAGCTCATTTTCTGTCAGCAGCGCTGCCGACGATGGCCGCTGCGTGTGGCAGCTGCTGCGATTTGTACGGTTCGGCATTCACTGCACCATCCCCACTCACATTCTCCACTCTGTCAGTCGCTAAACTATTTAATGCATCTTGCTGAATTTTCTGCATGCTTGCTGCCTGAAAAATTCATGGTCTACCGGTTCACCGGCATAATGCATGCCAAGCATCATTTTAAATGCCTTATTAAAGTTATTATGATTAAAAATCTGAATGAGAAAAGGTGCTAACGACAAAGCAATATTTAGCCCGAGTCGAGCAGCTTAATATTATAATATATTATCTATGCATACTTTTTGCAAATAGTGGGTAATGAATTTTACAGCTTGATGTTGTAATTCCAAGTCGAAAGAAGCGAAGCGAAAATATTGTTCTACTTGAAGTTGTATTAATCGTAGTTTATATATTTTAGTTTTAAATTGTAAGATTGTAAATCAAAATGACTTTATTGGATTTTTTCCAAGCTTGTCTGACAAGGCTCGTGAGCAAGCTAATGGCTTTAGTCAACGTTAGGGTATAAATGCATAGATATGCATACAATATGATAGTTTATAAATTCGAAAAAAAAGGAAAAAATAGTGGGAATGGCGCATCTAATTGTGTTTTTATGACAATGGGGTGCCGGCGAACACCGAACGGATCTGTTGAACAAAATTCTTTCTGCATTTTCGAGTAATTGGATTCTGGTTTGAATAGTCTGTCGCGACTGCCCTGGAGTCCAACATGGTCTTTGCATGGTTAAAGCAAACATTTTGGCACTCACACTGAATATGGCTTAAAGCCAAGGTTACATGGCTAAAGCGTAAATGAAATGACGTGCCGCAAAAATTAATAGCACGCTTTGCAATTCCGGCAATGCGAATATGCTGTGGCCCAACACATACGTCTATGCATATGTGTTCAAACTTTGTTGTTGGCAAGCCGCCATTTTGATATTCGTGCAACAATTTATGGGTCTGCCACCAATATTGCAACATGTTTTTGGTTGACACAATGTGAACGGTCGTGTGCGTATTTGCCTGAACATGCTAATTGCATGTCCCATCAACGCGATTCCGGGTGCGTCAGAGCTGGCAGCGCGTTTGCTTTAGTTTTCAACCATCAACTTATCAAAAGCTTCATAACTTTTTGGCTGCCCCAGGGTGGGAAAATGTCATGCGAAAATCGACAATGAGCGCACATAAATTCTGTAGCACACTTTTAAGCGCGACGCTGTATATTTGACATTCGACAAAACCGCTGACAATGGCAACAACATCCAAACAAGCACTCGTGTCGGTTTTATTAATTATCAAAAGCATTCTTTTTTCGCATATTTTCTTCTTTTTTTTTTGTAGTTTTCCATATGTGCTTTTACAATGCAAAGTTGTCGCATTGCAAACATGAAACTTTGCTCTATGACTTCATCTACAATTTCTCTGCACTTTGAGTCAAATGTGCTTCATTTGGTAAAATGATTAAGCTCATTATAATTTTGTCGCAAAATGTGCGACCTATCCGCCCTCTATAATTCATATTCTTCTGTCTGTATTTATATTCGTAGTCGTGTACAGATGGACAACTGTATATGGCTGCCATAGGAAAAATCGGTCGATAATTAGGTTCTTGGATTAAAACCTATTTCCCATTCAAGATATCATGATAAAATCCATCAACAACGAGCTGCTTAATAAATCTTCAAATTCGTATCAGATCGGCCTGCCATTTTATATGGCTTCTATGCAAATAATCAATTGAAAGTAAACCATTTCTTAGCCACATTTAAACAGATTTCTTTAATCTTCGGCTTACGGAAGATAGACGCAAAATATGAAAGCCCAAATGTAGTACATTGTTTGGTCTATGCAATATTCGAAAAAAATGCTGGATATTTAGGAACTTTGCAACTAAAAACGCAAACTCGGCTATCAATCATATTAAAGGCTCAAGAGAATCAACACACAAACTATGCATCGCCTACAGTTTCGTTGAGCCTGTTGGTAAGCATTGGCTATTTTTGTTGAGTGCGGCCATGAAGCAAAACTCTTGCCTGCTGTCTGAAGTTCGCAGGAAGTATAACTTTGACAAAAAAACGAGCGTATGAAATAACAAAGGATTACAAAGAGTAAATAAACAGAATGTAGCAGGCTGAAACAGACTATGTGGGAGGCAAAAAAGCACACGAAATGGCCAGCAAAAAATTGTGAGGAGAATTATAACCAATTATTCCACTTTAATTACAGTACATACATTTGCTTAAACATCAGAATATATTTCATACAGCTACTGTCATTATCTTATTGTTTTAAAATTCTTATAAAGTATGTCCAGCATTTTAGTCAAAGAGCCAGAATATATACCCTTGCTTTAAATTCAGAATTCTCAATTAATCTGTTTTGGCACATTTTAAACAATCCCAACAGGTCAAGCTGAATTATTACAGCTGCGAATAAGCATAAAATGTGAATTTAAAAATAAAACAAAAAAAATTGGCTCACAAAAAATGGTTATGAATGGAATCACGGTTACGAACTGCCACATAAGCGGCTAAATGAAATTTAAATGCTGACCGAACCGAAAACGTGTCGTTAGTTCAAAGGGAATACATTTTATATTGAAATTGTAATTATTGTAATTGATGCGGACACACGTTAGCGTGCTTATAATTACTTAATTACATAATCAATTTCAAAAGCAATTATAGAATCAATATAAAATATTGAGACACCAGCAAATGGCACAATCAACAGCAGAGCGTCGAGGGTGGACAACGCCATGCTCATCAATAGCTTGAGCTTCTTCAGGAGTCACTGGACAGTCTGGAGTGTACTTGGAGTAACCTACAGGCAGATCAAATGGATGCAGCCCTACATAGTCTATAGTCTCGTGGTTAATCTGTTGGTAACCGTTTGGTATCCACTGCATCTGGGCTTAATGCTCTTTAAAAACACAAGCCTTACGGATGATATCTTGAACCTAACAACATTTGCCACCTGCTTGGCCTGCTCGCTTAAGTTTTCCATTTACGCTTATAACTTTGACAAAGTCCAGCGAATGGAGCACCTGTTAAGCCAACTGGACTTGCGAGTCAAGAGTGCGGCAGAGAAAGTCATCTACAGTCAGTTGAGAACCCAGCTGAGAAACATTCTGTTCGTCTTCATTGGCATCTATCTGCCTGTCGGTGTTTTTGCCGAATTGGCATTTATTTTCAAGGATGAGCCTGCTCTCATGTATCCGGCCTGGTTTCCTTTCGATTGTGTCAATTCCACACGAAACTTCTACATTGCCCACGTATATCAGATTGTGGGAATTGGTTACCAATTGATGCAGAACTATGTGAGTGATTGTTTTCCGGCCGTAGTCTTATGTCTGATCTCGGCTCACATAAAAATGCTCTACGTGCGCTTCGAGCAGGTGGGCGTGGATGATGCCGAGGACGCTGAGTATCAGCTGGAGACATGCATAACCGATCACAAGCGTTTGTTGGAGTAGGTAGCATATCAACCTGTTCGGAGTGCGGCATTTAAATATGTTGTTGTATTATAGACTATTTCAGACAATCGAGTCCTTCATGTCGCTGCCCATGCTCATTCAGTTTGCTGTGACTGGGCTAAACGTCTGCATTAGCATTGCGGGACTTCTCTTTTTTGTGACCGAGCCCATGACTCGAGCATATTTCTTCTTCTACGCAATGTCCATGCCGCTGGAAATCTTTCCCATCTGCTACTACGGCACAGACAGTGAGCTCTGGTTTGGAAATCTGCACTATTCGGCATTCAGCTGCAATTGGACAGCGCAGCATCGGAGTTTTAAAAAGAAGCTGATGTTGTTTGTGGAGCGCTCACTGAAAGGGAGCACTGCGCTCGCTGGTGGCATGCTACGCATTCATGTGGACACGTTTTTCTCAACTCTCAAATTCGCCTACTCACTATTCACCATAATAATACGCATGCGAAAATAAATGTTATAAGCACAATTATTCTTGAGAACTGAACAGGTTTGGGCGAGCAACTGGCCCAACAGACATCTAAGCATTCGCATTAATACTCAACATAAAGTGCATGGCAAAGATGATTTGAGATTTATAATTTTATAATTTAGTCTGCCAGTCAAGACGTTTCACAAGTTCTTGGCTAAAGTCTTCAAGTCTCTGCAGTTTTTTATAAAAATTTTGTAAGCATGAAGAAAACTTGGCAGACATAATTTTATTATTATTAACTTGCAACAAGATTATAGAATTTCATATCTAAAGATTTTCAATTTTAAAATTTTAAATTAGGATAGGTTTGATGTGTAGTTGAGGCGAAACAACGCTTTTCCATTTAACGAGAGATACTATTTATTTCTGGCTGTAAAATTGGCTTATATCGTCATAGATGCAGCATAACCAGAAGCCTTACAAATAGTATCTATAAACATGATAAAGCTTTTGACAATGTGATTTAATTATTTGTGTACAAAACAAATTAAAATATCTATCCACATACCTAAATAAAATAGGCACACACATTGGAATGCCTTTGGCAATAGAAAGTATATCAGTTAACTAATTCCAAGACTAGACTTAGTTCTCAACTCAACACACTCCAACTTACATAAAAAACCAAAGAAGTTTTAACTTTTATTTGAAATCATAAATAACATTTAAAAGGGAAATTCTTATATGAAAGGGCTAACGAGAGACAGAAAGTTAATAAAGCATAACTTTTTGCTGCAGACAACTGCGCCATAGGAATTACGATGTGTTTCTGCGTGTGCATGTGCGTATGCTTATGTTCGTGTCTGTAGAATTTAAAGTAAAAAATAATGTTCCTGTTAATGAAAGTAACTTCTTCATTCACCTACGATTAGAAATATTATTGGCAATTTGAAGTTGAAGACATACCAGCTCATAATATTGCTTTGTTATTATTTTTATCCTGCATTCAAAAAAATAGACAATTTATTGTACTCAGGCTTTGACTTTATAATACCATCTCAATTTTAGGTGTACAATTGGAGAGGTAGAAAATATTCATAAAATATAAATGAAGTTATAAAAAAGGTATGTCTGTATTATAGAATGTGGAGTGTATATAAGGGTACATAAGTGTATTTGAAAGCAACACAAAGTCGACAAAGCCAGTTAAATCGTGGGAGTCTTAATCATTTTAGCTGGTCTATTAAATATTAATTATAACAAAACACCAATTGCAAATACTTGAATCTAAAGAGATCGACTGAGAGATACCTCATAAATTATACTATTTATTTGTAAAAATAATTCAAGTGTACTCAAAAACATATATAAAATTAAAACTTCACTTATGTCGATATTGGGTGATCGATATGATATTTAGAAACGGTTGCTGACGCATTTTTGGCACTTTGTACTGTCTGTGAAGCTTTTTCTTGTCTGCTGCAATCAGTCACGTCTTCTTATAATAAGTATTAGGGTATAATAATTGATAGGGCCACGCAAACGGCAATTATAATTATGTAATTACATAATTATTAAAACATGTCCTGCAACCATATAAAAAGCAACCACCTCTACCAAAAGAACCCGAGTCAGAACATTGAGCCGTTCACCATGCTCATCAATAGCTTAAGTTTCTTTAAAAGCCACTGGAATGTCTGGAAACTAGTTGGATTGACCTTCAGGCAGACCAAATGGACAGAACTGTACATCGTCTATAGTCTCATGCTAAATTTGTTGGTCAGCATCGGTTTTCCGCTGCATCTGGGATTATCGATTTTTAGAAACCAGAACCTCTCGGATGATGTCTTGAACCTAACGACCTTTGCCACCAGCATGGCCTGTTCCCTAAAGACCGCTATATACGCCTACAACCTTGATAAGGTGAAGCAAATGGAGCAACTGCTGAGTCAGCTGGACATGCGGATCAAGAGTGCGGCAGAGAAAAGCATCTACATAAAGCTGAAAACCCAGCTGAGAAACATTCTTTATGTTTTCATTGGCATCTATCTGCCTGCTGGAGTTTTTGCCGATTTGGCTTTTATATTCAAGGCAGAGCGAAGTCTCATGTATCCTGGCTGGTTTCCATTTGATTGGCTCAACTCAACGCGCAACTTCTATATCGCCAGCGCGTTTCAGATTGCAGGTGTTAGCTTTCAGCTGACGCAGAACTATGCGAACGACTGCTTTCCCGCCGTAATGTTGTGCCTGATCTCAGCTCACATAAAGATGCTCTACGTGCGCTTCGAGCAGGTGGGAGAGGATGATGCTAAGGATGCTGAGGATCAGCTGGAGGCATGCATAACCGATCACAAGCGTTTGCTGGAGTGGGTAACATCTCGAAAGCATCCTCTGCAGTATTTTATTGACTTTGCTCGTTTGCAGACTGTTTCGCATCATTGAATCCTTTATGTCGCTGCCCATGCTCATTCAGTTCGCGGTGACTGGGCTGAATATATGTACTAGCATTGCGGGGCTGCTATTTTTTGTTACCGAGCCGATGACACTCACATATCTCATATTTTATTCGCTGGGTGTTCCGCTGCAAATCTTTCCCACCTGCTACTATGGCACAGACATCGAGCTCTGGTTTGGCAAGTTGCACTATGCGGCCTTCAGTTGCAATTGGCTGGCACAGAGTCGAAGTTTCAAGAAGAAGCTGATGCTTTTCGTGGAGCGCTCACTGAAGCGCACCGCACCCTTGGCTGGTGGGATGCTAACCATTCACGTGAGCACCTTCTTCTCCACACTCAAGTTCGCCTACTCGCTGTTCACCATCCTGATTCGCATGCGAAACTAATGGCCAGAAATAATGCCAAAGTCAATTGCATTACAGCGCGGCACGTGAATGCACACCAAATGCAAATCATAAGCTGACAAAATTCACTTGTTAAACTCCCGGGACAATGGCGCAGCGGAAGCCACTCACATCCAGCGGCTTAACATGGCAAGTGGTTCCGCTGCACCGGAAGTTGCCACATGGAATGCTGCCACTGGCAGCTAAAATTCGTTATGAAATTAGCCTTGTATTTTACGGATTGTTTGACTAATACACACACATACTATATACACTGCCAGTGGGAGTCGTAGCTAATTGAAGCGTGTATATTAACTTTGCCTGGTTATTTTTTTAGTGGATATTGCCGCGTGGCTGTTGCTAGCCCGGTTAGTTGTTGTTGCTGCTTCTTTATTTATTTGCACCAAGATAAGACATTAAAAGACTTTCCGGGCTTTGGCCGGGCCTAATGCGCTTAAGTCGGCACTAAGTCATGTTGAATCTGTAAAGCCAACATTGTAACATTGTAAAATGGCGATCCAAGCGGCCAACATCGGCCAACCAAAAAGGGCCAACTGGCAATCCAACCAATTTATAGCCAAAGGTCAACTGCGGAAGAAGGTCCGCTGTTGTGACCCAGGAGCAGCAGGAGTCTGGGCGCAAATCGATTTCGATGATTATGTTGGGCGCAGGCAGCAGCAGGCACTAAGTTGATTTGAATTTATAACAACACGCATTTGGCTCACTCACAAAAACATTCAGCAAACGCCTCGGGACTGGCAACTAGTTTGGGATGCTGCTGATGAAGCGCATGCAAAGCACGTACCGCTGCCGCTGCCGCTGCCACGCCCACTTGCTGTGTAAATTCATTCCGTAGCAGGTACTAAATCGCTCACCAAATATGAGAGCTGCTTTAATTTTTAATCAAGGGAAGCCAACTCACACCCCGCTGCACACTTTTTTAAAAAGGAAAACTCAACTCGAAATTTGCAACGAAACTACTTTTGTGCTTAAACTCGACTGCCTGGCCAGACATTTGGAACGTTAAGCAGACTCAGCTGTATCTTTTGCCAAGTCAGAAATTATATTTCGCCAGTTGCCTCATTTATTTTGAGCTTGCAAACGTTTCTGTCGCCAATCTGTCGAGACCATCATCATAACCATCTTCTTCATCATCATCATCAACGTCGTTGTCGTCATTATCATTGGGCTGCTTCTTTATCTGTCGCTCTCCAACTGTGTAAGTCATGCAAACTCCAACTGGAAAAAGTCCAGCAAGTCACTATATTTAGTTTGGAGCAACTTACACAGCTCAAGTGGCCCATTCCATTGGCTCTGTGCATAGCAGTAATCGTCCTACCCGCCGGCTCTTTCTTTGCTTATTTGGGATTAAGCTGCCCGTGTCCTGTTGCTGTTTGGCTCCTCTTGCTGCTGCTCGCCTTCTCCTACTGCCTGCTGCTGGTCCTCGTCTCCTTTAGCTGCTCGCCTCTTCCACCTGATGCTCGGGTTTTCCTGCTGCCGACCGCTTTCTCCTGCTGCTGCTGTCCGCTTCCTCCAAATGCCCATCTTCTCCTGCTGCCTGCTGCACGCTGCCCACTGCCCGCCTGCAATTTGTTGCCAAGTTTAATGTTAATACACTTTTTGCTGCAAGTTGCTGCTGCTGTGGCAGCCACAAGTGGCCACTGCACCTGATGTAGCCCAACTTGGACAAGACCATGATGTAGCTGCTTGTGCCAAAAAACTTCTGCAAAAATGTACAATAGGCATATACAAATTCAGGCCAACTTTCAGACTCAATTCGTTTAGCTTTAAATTGAAATTAGCCAACGAAGTGTCTTCGCCGAGAAAATAGTTCACAACTTTGGCATGGAATTAATAGTTTCCTTATGACGGGCGGACGCAACCCAAAAGTTTTTGCGCATATTGTCAAATTTCAAGTAAATCGAAATATACGCAACTATGCATTTGCCCGGAAAACTTTTTGTCAACGTCTTGAGTTGGACGCCTCGACGCACGCCCGACATCCATCCGCTTTTCCAAAACATTTCCATCGCTTTTCCGCTAACTAACCCACGTGGCCTTGGCAAGGGCCGTTGGCGTCGGCGCACAGAAATGTACTCAACTAAATTACAGGCTTTCATAGTCTGCAAAATCTTTGGCATTTACGTATGCTATGCACACACACACACAGACATGCTCGTACACATATGCAGAGGCTCATATAAAGCTAGAAATTTTACAAGCAACATAAGAAAGTCACTTAACGTAGCCGTTGGCGATGGCAATGGCACATTATGCGGCTGGGATCTCAATGTGGCGAGTGAAACTTAATTTCTGTGGGAAAATGTGAGGGTGAATATGTGTGTGTATTTGTTTTCTTGGCCCGCCAAATACATAGAAAATATACGTATACGGATTTTCCTTAACGGGCTTGGCATGTGTTTTTGGGTTGCGCCAGTGAAAACATTTGCCTAAACTATGCCATTAACATGTTAAACTTTCCGGGTACTTGTAATCGGCTGCCTGGTTATGCGGCTGGCTCGTCTGCCAGCTCTCCAACGCAGTCAGGCAGGCGCTGTTGCAGTCTCAGTCTCAGACTCTGTCTCTGGCAAATGAATGTTCTGGAGGGGCACGTAAATACTTGCCAGAAACTTGAGCGAATTAACAACAAAAGTTCGTCCTGCTGCTGATGCTGCTGCTGTGACGGAAAACTTTGGCAAAAATAACTGAAACTGCTGCTGGCAAGTGACAATAACAGGAGGCAAAGTGAAAGGCTTGACAGCGAGTGCCAAATGTCAAACAATTTGCGGTGATGCCGCCCACAGCCCGACGCTCTCCAACCGCATCAACTGGGCTCTATTTAAAGCGTATGCCCGAGGCGTCCAATGGCCGTTTATTAATAGCTGCAAAACTTAACGTGCACCAGCATCGGATTCGGGCTTGCGGCCCCGGCCATAAAAAGCAAAACACCATCCGCATAATGGCCGCTAAAGAGCCAACTAAATGTAGTCCGAACGACGAGTATAACTCATTATGGCTAATGAGTGTTATTTGTGCCTTGGCGCATAACAAACTCAATTTTGCATGAGAGAGTCGAGTCAGCGCCATAGGTCGGAATTAGTTTGACTTGAAGGCGCAGACAACTTGCCCCACACACACACATACAGCCGGTCTTGTGGCAAGTGAATGTCAACTTTGGCTTTGGCAGCGGCTTACTTTTACTGGCATGGGCGGGCGTGCGACAAACATAATTACGCCCACATTTAAGGACTTTTATCTTCCGCCTGCCTGTTTTTCAGAAAAACTTTGCAGATTTACACAATGTTCAGTTAAACGATTGCAATAAATTTCCTTCTGATTAAATGTGCTGATTATAACCCGCCTGCAATTGACTTTAATCACATGTAAAAATGGCCCAAAAAAAGAAAGGAAAACAATAAACGTAGCTCCAAGCATATGCAAATGTCAATAACTAATACGACAAAGTATACAACAACAACAAAAATAAATAAACGCACGCTTTTGCCACCCGCGTTGACCTCCTTTACATTACAAATACGTTGAGTATACGCGGCGTTGCCGCTGCCACGCGGGCCAATTATTGCACGTGCCACGCCCTGAATGAGCCAAGCGGCCAGAATTGTTGTGAGTGTGGAGGCGTGGCTGACGCGCGGTTGCACGCCTCAATGAAACTGGCGGATTTGCGTAAGGCAAACGTTACAATTGAAATTTCAAATGCGTTGCCGGCGTTGACAGCCTTTTATGTTGATGATGAAGATTCATCCCGCGGCGGTCGCAGCTGTGCTCTCTGGCTTACACGGATTTAACGTATTGTCAAGCTGATAGCAATAGCTACGCATGTCGGCCTACGGGATACATACACACACACACACACACACACACACACACACACACACACACACATGTAATTGATAACGTGTGATTTAATGTGTTTTTAACGCGTTTTCATGCGATTTCCAGTTAAATGAGGCGTGACATTTTCAAACATCGCCACCGCCCAACACTTAGAGCCGCCCCTTGATTTGCAAGCCCATAAACATGCTTATGCCATGACGCTGTATTCGGTATAGAAGTAACTTTTGAATTTTTTTGATTGCGCAAACAAAAATGCGACCGCCTGAAAGTATGCAACACAAATGCATGGCCACCACAAAAACAAGAACTAAGATTGATTAAGTCCAAAATGTTCGGACCAGCTGCAAGGTGTGCTGATTGGAGTATGCATAAACACAGCAGAAATGTAGCCCCTCCTCCCTCCCTATAGGTCAACGCCTGAACGAGCAAAGTTGGCAGGTTGAGTTTGTACGACCTTAAACTTATTTGCAAAGCTCGGCATAAAATATATAGAATATGTGTTTTACTCCCAAGTTCCCAAAATGTGCGGAATACTGATGTATGCAACATTTTTTACTTTTTGTGGTCTACAACGAACTCATATTTTAAGAGTAAAATTTCAATAAAGACGTTCTCCGCCATATTCTCTCATTCGTTTGCATATATCTGTTCATGTATGTATGCGTGTCATTGTTTGTATGTAGAAATGCATGTTCCCTTATGCCTATCACATCACATTTTTTGATTGCTCGAGCTACTGAGGTGAAAATTTCCAAGATAATAAAAAAAATTTTGAGAAGCGCCTTAGTATGCGATTCTCATGAATTTAAGTATGCCTTATAAATTTGTTTCTTTCCTTTTAACTCTTATGCTTTATATTACTCCCTCTATCTTATGCTACCCTCTCTTTACATCGCTCTTACTTTAACTTTCCCTTCACTTCTTTTGTTCTTTTAGGAATGTGCATATATAACATAAAAGGCTGCCTCCAGCTACTGATAGATGGCATGACGTGTGTATGTGACTTTAAGGTGAGTAACTATTTAAAAATATTTTAAGGAATAAATAAGAATGCTTCAGTTCTGAGCAAGCGCTTTCTACTATGGTAAACATATATGTATGAGCATTAGACTGTGAAGCAGGCGAACTATTCGAGTTATTCCAAAGTAATTCGAGCCATTCTGATTGGTAAGATTGCAGTCATAATAGTTTCCATATACCGACGTAGCCCAAAGAAATAATGTCTACACTATTGCTGAGAGAACGAAAAAATAGCCCACATTAAATGAAAATATAAATTGAAAATATAATAGGCATTAAATTGTGTTGGCAATGCGAATCACAATAAATAAATGCCTGCAGATCACACACACAATAAAGTCTGAATAATATTTGATTTCGTCTCGCATACCCTGTGTCCTGTCCAATGCCTCGTTAAGTTTTTACACACAATCAGTTCAAAGTGGTGCAAAATTTCGAGACAATATGCATCATTCAATCTGAATGCTTGCTGTCATTCACCAATCCACATCTAGATTGAATTGTAGCTAATCAATGCTGGATAAAATGCTTTACATTTCTATATCGATTTGTATTGCTCTATTTGCGTATTGTGGCATCAGGAGTTTGTCTGTGTGTGTGTGTGTGTGGGTGGATTTGGACTGTGCACGATTGAACGCATCGCATAAGGTAAATTCCCATATGAACCGTAAAGTATTGTTCGTTTTATTGTGCCATTTTCACGAACTGGCATCGAAATGGCAACAATTTTTTAGCTACATGCAAAAAATAAAATGCTTTCGAATGCTGTTGTTATTTAATCAATTGAATTCATGAAAAAATATGCTACCTCATAATTCTATAAAATACTATTAAAGCGCTTTGAGCCTTTCAATGAATCCCAATACTCGCCCCTAATCCATTGACCTTGACACTGATGCCATTGCCGATTCAAGCCACGACTAAATTATAACTTTGCGCACCCCAAAATAGATAAGCATCTGTCAAAATTACGCTAAATTACTTGAATGTCGGCAGGCGAGTAATTTAAAAGCAATTTCGCGATCATTAAATGTCACCAACAGATGTCGCTCAAAGCTCAAAGCTCAAAGCATTAACTAGCCGAGTGCCCCGACCACTCCGACTGAGCACACGCAGCCATATTTACAAGTACTAGGCAGCACGATTTGTAGACTTAATAAGGTCTGCTTAACAAATCGAATAGTTTATCTGTCATTAATGAATATGAATATTACGAGAATAATCAAATAACTTACAGATGCTCAGAGAGGGCTTCCAATTTACACTTGAACTCTCTGTTGTGAAAGCGGCATATTCAAGCCTAATTTTGTACCTTCAATAAAAAACATATATCTAATTTTTTTAATATTAAAACTTGTAATTGATAATCAATATATAAAAAATGGTTTTTCCTCATGTGAAAATTGTTTCCTCAAATATCGTATGTAGACATAGGTCAAAATTTCCCACTCCAATAACTCGGTCAAAACTCATATAATTTCCATGATGTTCTGCTCTTTGTTCATGTTTTGGCCTGTAGATCAACTTGGCATCTAAATCTGGCAACATTAGTCTTCGTCAAAATTATTGTAAATATGGTACCCTCAAAGTCCTTTAAAGTTCTTCTCAAGGCCCATTTTCTTGTGTATATAAAACAGAGAAAAGCTTTGCAGACATACATATCTGGTTTGGTGATATATTAAAGATCTCTTTGATAACTAAAATACTTCAGGTAATAATAACAACACATACAATTGCTTTAAATTCAGTTAAAAATGAATTTTAAAGCTTAAGTCTCCGACTCCCTCTAGCTCATTACAATTAATGTTTCTTAGTTATATGAACAATTTAAAAATTTAAAATACAAAAAAAAAGCTATCATTTTGGTTGATAATTTAATTAATAATATTCACAAATTTGGAAATACCCCAGATACCAGTCGCTTAATTCTAACCAATTAATATTGTTCTTTGGAATTCTAATTATACATTTTTGGCAAATACGTATATGAATTTCATACCTTCATTTGATGATATATTGTTATGGAGTCGTGCTGTGTGTGATATGGAAAATTGAATGCTCCGCTGCTTGGCCAAAAATTATTCAGGCACAAGTTGAAAAGCATTGAAAATTAGATGCTGCTAATTTGGCTTATTGCATATTACATTTTATATGCTGTACCTTGCGCTGCTGCCAATGCAGTGCCATTGGCATTGAAGCCCTTCCCAACCGCCCCCGCCTCCCCTGCATCTGCTGACAATTGCAGAGATTTCGACAAAACCACTAAACCACAACTACACGTAGCCAGCGGCTGTTGATGTTGTTGTTGTTGTTGTTGTTGTCGCATTGTTGCTGATGATGCTGTTGTGCTAAGGTCATTGGCGGAAATTATAAAAATTGCGTGCCGCAAAAAATGGCAATAATAATAACCGTGTGAGGCGTGCAACAAGCCAGACTCAACTTTTGAATGAACTCTGTATATGTATATATATATAAAGATATGTAAACTCTGATAGCTCGCAGCTTATCGGCATCTTTGGCAACAGTTGGACCACTTGTGACCAGTGTTGCCTTCTTTAATGGAATGTAGCTTTAGAAAAAGCTAAACTAGATTAGCAAGCATTTGGGCTCAGAGGTGGGATCGGTGCGAGAAGATGAACGGAACGGGAAAGGGCAACGGGAACGGAAAGCGCAAATAGTTGCGGGATGGGCGGAACGAGAACTGTAAAACAATCCGGGATTAGCAAGATTTTTTGATAATCCCGAAATTCCAGCAGGTCGCGATATTTATTTTCTATCTGAAAAGTCTAACCGGATTCCCCGCATTTTTCAAAAAAAATCATTACCTTTAGTACTTAATGTAGGTGTGTATCTGTATTTTTCAAAATGTTACCAACTTCCGCTTTTATTTATAAATATAAAGTAAAAGAACGTATTGAAAGAAAAGTCGGCACCGGCAGGATAAATTTGATGAAGAACAATCTGTACGGGATAGTAAATTTATATTTGGGAACGGAATTGAGCTATCTTTCCCGTGAGTATCCCTCTTGCGCATATATAAAGGAAAAGAGCTGCCTCCCTTTGAGAATTTTTTCTCTAAATCCTTCCAATTAACGAGCTGGTTTGGGCAATGCATCCAATATAATTTTGCAATACGTCAAATAATACTGTCTTTCTGCTATTTTTGTATATTTTTGTAGACAAACTTACATAATTTTAATGGCAAAAAAAGTGTTAATTATTATATTGACTATCAAATATTTCACGAGATAGCTATGAAAAGTAAAAGTAGCTGCGGCAGTTTAAAAACAAAAAAGGTGGCATTGCAGGCTTTCATCCGACAACCATCCGACGTCAGATAGCCAAATTTAGCTATAGCTTTAGCTGATTTGGCAACAATGCGCAAGACGAATCTCTTGGCACAATTTCCGCTTGTGCCAAATTGAACTATTTGTGCTGTAGTGGTCACATCTTGGAGATTGTGTGCTTATCGTCGCACAGCTGGCCGGAGTGCAGCCCGCCATTCCATCTGACCCATTCCACTCGTAATGCCATGTTGATTGTGGCTAACACACAGACACAAGTGACAATAATTCAGTTGGCAAATGTGTACACGTGTGCACGTTGTCGCAAACTCTGGACGCACCTCGGCATGTGCCGCATACTCAATCTGCGGACAGCAAGGCATTCATCTGCTTTTAGCAATTTGGTTGCCTAGAAATCATTCGTTTATTCATACCATTCCGGCGTAGGCCTTTGCCCCAAAATAGTATCACGTACGCTTTCAAACAATTATTGTCCTTGCACACGCACACACACGCACACACAGAGAGAGAGGAGTGGGGAGAGGGAGTCATTGATTATGCAGGATGTCTTGAAATAAACTCAAATTTGATTTGAGTTGGCCTCGCAAACAAATTGAAGTTGACTTTAATCAGCTGCGACCATAACATTTGTTTCGCCAGATTTATCAATATCTGGTTATGCTCTAAATCGCTTTGGCTTGGCTGTGTTTTAATGGCCACACAATTAAGACAAATCGCCATGCAAATGACCTAAATAAATTCAAATAGTTTTTGACTGTGCAATGCTGTGCAATAAATAACAACACGCTTCGGGATGCCTCTGCCAGTTCAGCAAAGTTTCTAGACCAGTGCGCAGTTCAATAAAAATACAATTTATTATTAATGCAAGCCAACCGAAATCTAAAAACCAAAAAAAAAAGAACAATCATCGACTAACTACTGTGGCAAACAAGCCAAGCGTGAACCATTTGCAAACAGGTAAACTATGTATATTCGCAAATATTTACAGCTTGCAACGCGTCACACGCGGCGTATGTGTGATGCAGTTGCTCGGTGTGTGCACAGCCTGATGAGTCAGCCGCCGGTCAGTAAATGCTCGTAAAATGCGCTCGCTCGTTTCTGTTTGGAGTTAAGCACGTAAACAAGTTCACTATTTATCGTTGCGGTGTGAAAATTTGCGCATGACTGGCTGGCCAGTGAAAGTTGATAATTGTTGGCCTAATATGCAGTTTGCACTATGTTGCACCATGGCCCAAAAGCCACTTTATTGCCGCATATGCGGAAAAGAAAGTAACATTGTCGTTAGCCAGTCAATGGCCGCACCATCAATGTGCGCTACAGCAAACACATTATTCGGTCAGGGCAACTGGCAATCGGCAAACGTAAATCGTTAAATGTCAGCCGGGCAACGCCAGCTAATCAGCATGTCAGGCGCGCAGCCATGCGTGGTTATTTCTGTAGCTAAAGCAGTTGCTGTTGCTTTTTATGGCCTATACCCTTTAACAGGCAGAAGACGGCATCTTCGACCCAATATATTCCCGATCAGCAAGAATATCGATCAAGCCATGCCAAACCATCAAGCCATAAAAGACAGACTTTCTGTCTATTTGAAGGCGCAATTCTCGGAAGCTTTATTTAATTGATATCGCTTTGCATTTCTACGAAATCAATAGGAATCAATTTTCAGAACTTTTAAGACCAACGTC